GACAGTTAACTTTTGGTACTTTTCATGAAAAAACCTAATTCCCACACCTTTTCCAAGTAAAAAAGGTACACCTCTTCAACAACGCTGGAGGTGATCGTTTTCGAGATATTTACAATTTTCTATATCGATGCATATTTTTCATGAATCTTTTGTATATTTAAAAAAGCACTCTTCAACATTTTTATTTTGTCTCACCCATGGATATCTACTATCTGAAGAAGAACCCCCAGTACGTGAAGTGTGTGAAAGTCTACAAAGTGTGAAACATATTCTAACCGAGTGCGTTCTATATCACAACGAAAGACAACATTATGGCTTCCCACCGTCAATAAAGAACATTTCATGTGAATGTGATATTTAAAATCTATTAGCTTCCTCAAAAATACCAATTTTTTACATACACCCTAAGTTTTTTTCATGAACCCTAGAGGTTGATGCGACTGTAAATAAATAAATAGTAAAAAAACGTTTTCATTTCTAACATGCTTTGTCAATAAGAACTTGATTTCTGGGACAATGAAATATATTTCTCTCACTGTCTCTATTGAAAATATTACAATTTTTCACCATGTCCGCAAGAAATGATGTGAAAGAGAATCCGAAAATATAACTACACATATTACTCACTAAAATCCGCAGGATTATAATGTTTGGGGCACTCGAGTCCGATATCAGATAAAAAAGGTACTACTTCGGGGCCATATCCTTTAGGCATTGCCAAACAAAGATTGAACACCTAGATGGCAAGAAGATTTATGGACTTCTGGCAAAATCTTTCAGGATCGGCTCACTCTGTTCGAAGGGTGAAGCCGAAGGGCTTCGCCCTTCGAAGTTTCATACCAAACAGTTGTTGGAGTACAGTAGAGATGAACTACATTGTATAACAGGCCTTCTTACACTGTCATTTCAATCATCATATGCAGAGACTCGGACTGTCGGAAGACAGATGGTAAGAGTACGGCAGAGGCGCTTTTGACAGTGATAACCAAGCCAACGTCGTTCTCAAAGAAATATGGACTGATGACGCTACGAGCCCAAAATCCACACCAAACAAAGACTTTTACAGCATGCATTGGACGCTCTTGGATCCCATGTGGATTGGTATCGTCCCAAAATCGACAATTTTGTGTTCACGTACCCGTCCATTCAGAAATGAGCCTCATCGCTGAAGATGTGGTCTGAACAATCGATTTTCACTTGCTATCGTCCAACCCGTGTTAGGAATCACACGTTAAAATGCAAGACCTCGTTAATCCTTAGCTCGCACAAGTTTCGAATCCTGAGGGTTCTCGTTCCTACTGCTCCAAAGCAGTAGGAACGGCTCTGCCGAACTCTAAAAACCTGATTCGGCTCCCAGCGGGGCAGGCACAAAGTACGTGCTCTACTGTTTCATCATTTTCCAAACAGAGGCAACACATACTATCTTCCGACAGTCCGAGTCTCTGTATATGATGATTCATATGACAGTGACCTGTAAGAAGGCCTGATAGATATCGTAGTTCATCCCTACTGTAGTCCAACAACTGTTCGATATCAAGCTTCGAGGGGTGAATAAACGCCTTGGGGTGTACTAGTTGAATGATGACATAGGGTTCACATTTTTGTTATTTATTCGTAAAAGGAATATATTAGAGTTGGATGTTTTCCATTTTCCATCTATTTCTCTGAAAAGTTTTTAAAATATAATTCAATGTAAAACTGTCATTTCAGATTTTTTTACGAATCGTATGATTGGTACTGACAAAAAAACCTATACCAAATTCTGATTACATGTTAGTATGATGTCAATTGCTCAATTTTATGTTTAGAGATCCTCAATTCTCTAACGTGTACTATGATTTGTATCACATCCTCAGTTTTTTCCGGTCATCCCGAATTTACCCATCTAGGAATGCACGTGACTTCATGGAATATTATATTATTACCACAAGCTCCTAGATAATTTTCCTGATGGTGGAAAAATTGCATACTCTCTCACAGAATTAAGTCAAAAGTTGGTTCTGAATTACCACAAACCACCGCCAAAGGAAGCAAACAGTGCAAACTCTTTATAAAATACTCATTTCATTGTATATGGTGGACTAAAAAGTTTGTAAGCTAAAGCACAGATGGCGATGCTAGTATTAAATCTATATGATTTTCAGTTAACCCTAACCTTCTAAAGATAAATGTACACATTTCACAGCTGTCGGACTATTAGTTTGTGGAATGGAATATTTTGAATGAAGCAACTTTTGTTGGATTGAAGAAAATGGATGAGAAGGAATTTCGCCTGTTGACAAAGCATTGCTCTTGGCGAAAAAAATTCTGTTTAAGCCATGGCTTGGCTTCGAAGTGGGTGCCGCGTGAGCTCACAATCGACCAAAAACAACAACGAATTGACGAATCTGAGCAGTGTTTGGAGCTGTTTTGCGCATATTTATGAATCGATATATGACAATTGATGAAACCTGACTCCATCATTTCACACCAGAATCAAAACAACCGTCATCTGAGTGGACTGCACGTGGTGAACCGATTCCAATGCATGCAAAGACGCAACAGTCGGCAAGCTTGTGGTATCAGTATTTTGGGATGCGCTTGGTATAATAGCCTTCGACTTTCTTGAAAAGGAAAGAATCATCAACCGTAACTAACACAGCGTTATTGAGGCGTTTGAAGGACGAAGTCGTGGAAAAACGGCCCCATTCGCTGAAAAAGTGCTGTTTCATCAAATCAATGAAAACAATGGCAAAATTGCATGAATTGGGCTTCGAATTGCTTCAGCGTCCTCCGTATTCTCCAGATCTGACCCCCAGCGACTTATTTAATTTCTAAGGCCAGAAGATGATGCACGATGGAAAAATTTGCTCTAATGATGAGGTAATCGTCGAAACAGGTCTATATTTAGGCTAAAGACAAATCGTAGTATAAAAAGGGCTTAAGAAAATTGTATGACCGCTATAATTGTTGTATCGCCCTCAAAAGCAACTGAATTGAATGATGTAATGACACATTTTTTTCATGTTAGCCTACGAACTTTTCAGTCCAACTGTTAACTATTCAGTGAACTATGGTAAACTTAATAATTCCATCCTAATGAAAATTTCCCATTCACACAGAAAAATAACTGAATGATATCAATAATGATTGATTATTATTCAATGAACGAGTCATCGACCCACAAATTGAATAATTCATTACTATCGATGGTACTCGGAGCTGGTTTCTATGAACTTCAAACAGAACATGTAATTATTTCAAGAAACATTTTTTTCATTTTCATTATTCAAGTATTCATTAAAACAACCAACAGGAGGTCTCATTGTTAATTGCGGCGTCGTTAGTTTTTTTAACTTCTTGAATTTCAAGTTTTATTCAAGGATTTTGTCAGGTAATGCTGACGTCTAGGATGATAGGATCAGGCTCTACAAGGTTTATGATGTTGCTCACTGTTACATTTTATATATTCAAATCTTTCTCATGTCCGACAACCTTTACTGATACATAAATCAAATTATTTAAGTGATACGTTTGTTGATGATAGAAACAAAATTGTTCGTCAAATTTTATATGGTTGAAAAATTTTATTCAAATTAGTAGCGAGAAACAATGAAGAATAAAAATAGAAAAAGTTCACTTTTGGAAGCTTTCACAGTGTTTGTTCTGATATTGTTATATCCAATAGCTTTAGTTTGGTTTGAATGCTCTATTGTTTTTCAATTCTTTTATATTATCAGATTTTTTTTATATTTATATTTTATATTCATTTTATTCAAGGCGCTCTGNCTATACAATAGCTTCTTCAAGCATAACTATAGCGAAACACGTGTCGCGGTTTTTGTAAAACCCTCATAGTGAAAATCATAGAATAAACTCTATCGATTAGTTTTTTTTTCTATAGCTGTTGTTGTAATTGAACCATCCGCTTATGTTGGTGATGGAATTGTGTATTTTCTATGTCAGCTTCAGCTACCGACCAAGAGGATTTTTTTTGTGAGAAAGCCTATTATAATTTATCAGAGTACTATCAAGATACTTTTTGATTCGACTTGTGGCTGACTCGTTTCATGTAATTAATATTGAAAACTTTCCAAATAAACTTATTGGCTATATTCGTGCAAGTGATGTATTATGCTATGTAAATACTAATTTACATTACAGGAGAAAAAAGACAATAGTTGATTATCTATAAGATCAAGCTCTGCCAGGCTGATCATAATGATCATTATCACGTTTCTATATTCAAATAAATACATAATAATATAATGAAGCTCTTTTCGGGATTTGTTCTGGAATAGACTTTACACCAGTTCATGCCCGGGCAAAATCTGAATAGTGAGGGTATAATGGATTTCAGAGAGGAACCACCGGGTGATTCGAATACTGTTTTAACATGTTCTGCCTTGCTGTGCAAAGAATCAAATATTTTGATACCAATCTGTAAGCCAATCACTTGAATAGTTCTATTGAATTTCTGCTGAAGAATAATAAGAAGCACTTGAGATAGCCTTATACAAAGTCTGTGGAGTTGGAATTCAATATATGGTAGTGAATAATTCAAATTTTATTCGAAGTGATATTTTTCTTAACACGGACTTTGTTTCGATTTTGTAAATGAAAATTTTTTGTTTCTATACAAACTATATTGAAAATTGAAATGACTAATACCAGTTGTTCTTACTTCTTATCGAATAGATACTATTAATGTCAGTTATGTCAAATCTAAAGATCAAATTTTCATCGACTCCTGAATTGTACCATAAAATGGAAGGTGAGTGAACAAATAATCTCAATTTCGTTACGAGAATATAAATGAAAGTGCATCACGAAAAGTGTTGAATCGACATGTCTCCTGAATACTAATTCATATTAACATATGCATGAAACTGAGAAAGGATATTGAGTGATTGTTTTTTGAAGAAATGAGGCTCTAACATTTCTATATATGTACTAACTTCAAATTTGTAGTCGAATAAATTCAGAAGGTCAAAGCTCAGTTTTGAGAAAAGGGGACTTACGTCGTTGGTTCATCCAAGAAAATAACTGGTGGATTATTCAATAATTCCAATGCAATTGACAATCTCTTTCTTTCTCCACCAGAGAGAGCATTAGTCCGTGTATTTTTTGTTTTCGTCAATCGCAGCAAATCTAGGATTTCGTCAATCTGCAAAAGAACGAGTAATTTTTTATTTCATATTTTCCCGCAATGAAACAAAATGAAATACTTCAATATGATAGAAACATGTTTTCAATTGGAAAAATGAAAAAAAGTACTTCAATAAGAAGAAACTTATGTGTAATGTTGAGTCAATAATTGCTATCTGAAATATGTCAAACAGTAGGAAATAAATTAATAACATCACCGTATTGGCCATTGATGGTGAGTATCATTTGAGGCACTTCGAAAAATCAATCATTAATGCATATATGCCTTAAAAATACTGCATGAGTTTTCTAAATGACGTCAAACTAGGTTTACAACAGTGAATCTTGTGAATAATAATCGAGTGCAACTTTCCTTGCTCCGTAATTCTCAAATTATAGCATTGAAAACATATAAATGTTAACTCGCAGATTCTCACGGACAAAGTATAATGAGCTGTTCCTAATTGCGTAAAAATGAATCATCACCTCAAGACCCTTGCCACAGAAAACAGTCATCATACTTTGTTAGTGAGAATCTTCGAGTTAACATTTCTAACATTCACCATTTTCCACCAAAAAGAACGTGAACAAAGAGGTCAAGGCTTCTTCGCCAACTTCTTCCAGTCTAATCAACAAGTTCAAAAACATGAAAACTAGAAATAAAGGTCCAAAAAATTTGGGCGATTTTGATTCGGAATCACCTCTAGAAAAATGTTTTTGAAGGATTTTGGTTCAGGTAAAAAATTGCAATTGTTGTTAACAAAATAAGATTTAAAAAAATGGTATTTAGTTTTTCGTTAATAACTCAAAAAATATTAATATTAAAGCAATTTTGAAAAAAGTTCGATAAAGAGGAGGAAATTTCCGATAAAAAAAGTCCAGACTCCCGAAACTCTATCTCCATTATTTATAACTTTAATTTGACGTTGAAAATTGGGTTACATGCGGCTGTTACGGCATGCGCGCGCTGCCGCTAATGACAGTTTTTCAATAAAAAATTAATTTTTTTAACATAAAATGTTATTTTGAAAATTTGAAAAAAATCCAGTATATTCTCAACACTTGAATGAATCGAGTCCTCATAACAAATTTAATGAAATCTCGAAAAGTATATCCTTCGGATTTGTATGTATGAATTCATAATACTCATTGTCAGAATTCAAATTATTTCTGTTGACGTGAAATATATAAAAATTCCACACTGCTTCTCATGCGCATCGATGTTCATTTCAAATAGGTGTAACAGGTTTAGGGTATTTAATAGATGTAAACCTCCATAAGAGCTGTTCAGCTCTGAACTTTTTTGTTGTTGAGGAAAATGATTATTGAAAAAGTGATTTGATATAATTTTGGCTGTTGCCTCTCATTGCTTTTGCATTTTACCTTGATCGTGATCTTGCAAATTGTTTGAAGGTCAAGGTCAGTTTTCAAACCCGGAAGGTCATATATTTGTCTCGAAGGCAGAATAAGTGAAAGAAATAATATCCGCAGTGACATTAAAATACAGTGAATTTCCTCTCTGAGGGTCATTTGATAGTAAAACAATCAAAATGGTGAAGTCATAAAAAAACTCTTTGTGTGAGTGAAAGAAATATACAAAGTATTTACGATTTAGTTCTGGCTGCCTATGGTGGCCTTTTGTTTGACCTTGCCAATTGTGAAGATCTCAGAACTTTCTGAAACATTTTCATTCCAGAAGAAGGGGGAAATCGAGTATTGTTTTTATCATCTTCTGATTCAATCTTCTGGGTTTCAGAGTCTAGATATACCATATTATCAGCTTGATTTTACTGGCTAGGTTCACTAGCAACACTGCTACCAATTGGAACCATACATGATCTTGCCTTCACTGGTTTCATTCCTCTATTTGAAATATTTACTCCTGATTGAGATGAAAAGTATGAACTATGGAAGTGATTAGGGCTATACTCGATGTTAGCAATATAAAATATGTGGGTTTCAAGTTTTTTGAACTGGCAAGAATAGGAAAAATCGCAGACAGGTAAAAGGTCACCTTCTGACAGACAGCCGTGACGTTTCTTTCCCTCACACCTTAAGTCTCTTCATTGCTTAACCATTCTGAATGGTTAAGCAGATTTAGCCGTTATATTTCCCGCTCATTTGGCTCCCTCGAAAAGATTCTCCTTTAGAGAACTGAAGTAAAATTTCAGATATTTCGCAAGATCTGAGGTAATCGCCGAGTAATCAAGAAAAAACGTAAAAAATCTTGTATATTCTCTCTTTCCTATCATTCACAATGTTTGACCTTCAAATGAACTTCCGAGAGGTCATACATATCCAATCTTACTTTTTTCCGTTTTCAACATTCCCTCGATGAGATGTATGGGTTTTCATCTGAAAAACCGAACTTGGCCTTCAAATAATATGCAAGGTCATATTCAATACCAAATCACCGGATAGTTCAGAAAAATTCTGAACAAGTTCTTTTTTCTATCTCTTCATATTTTCCAGTCCCTGGGCAGTATCGACCCTATACGTCATTTTTCTAAACTTTTGTTTTTTTTTTCTATGTCTAAAATATTAAAACCTGAATGGCCCTGTCTCACCGCCAGACTACTTTTGGTCCTGGGTACGCCCCTGTTGATTATGAAATAAATACATGCTTACACTTTTCATTTTGTCAGCTTTCTCCATATTTTTTCCCAATTTCAAGTTGGCAGCAACAAGCATTGCTTCCTTCACCGTCAACAGTGGCTGAATGAGATCCTCTTGCATAATATATCTCGACATTTTCTTGAACTGTTTTAGATTTCGTTGTTTTCCATTTATAAAGATTGAACCGGTTGCTCCCTGACATCTAGAAAATAAATAATGTTTTTATATCATCATCAGTCCGCAAACATTCCAAAACCGACTAGTTATGCAAGTGGTGAACTGTTTGGGTTATTATACAATGAATCTGTGAGTAGAGGTTGGGCAATGTGAGAGAAGTAATTATGGAATTTAAAATTCAGATCAACGTTATATAGTTTCATCGAAACACCTTCTTAATATTGACGTCAATATATCAAATTATAATAATAATAATTTGCAAGGTTATGTTCAAGATCATATAAAAGTTCACCACCAAACACTTATTCTCTTCGTTTTTCATTACAAAAAGTAGAAATAGCGGTGGCCAAACAATATATTGCATTTTAAATGTGATGAGTTTGAAATTTATCATGATTTTATCAATGAATATGACACTTGTGATGCACTGTTTGGAATCTTCGGTATCGTAATGAATATTACTGGAGATTTTACCCAACACCAAACCGTTATTTTAACACCTAGACACATCTTCCTCTTGAAGATGATCACTTGGTGATCGAAACACGCATCGAGGAGTTAAAATGACGGTTTGATGTTGGGAAAAAACTCTAGTGATATTTATTCTTCAATGAATATAAAGGATAAAACTAAAACAAGCACTTTTACCAATAATCAGAACTGGAATAGTTTTCTAGTCGACCGTTTCACCAGCCAAGTTGGCGTCTTTAGGAAATAAGTCACACTAATTCCTAACTCTGAAATTTGTGTCTATTCATATTCAACAGAGTATATTTTCACTGTCAGACACACATTAATGACTTCTACCAGGAATTTGTGAATAATTTTCTTGTGAAATCGATTCATATGGAGACAAACAATGGGTTATTTGGAATTTCCAGACTTTCGAAAGCATCCCAAAATCTAGTGTCACCGACCCATTTCAACAATTTCACACATATCTCATTTATTCTATGGCCGTTCTCCAAGGCGTGTCGAGCGACACTATATTTTTCTGGTATCCAAAAATATTTGCTACGTGTTCATAAAACTAGTTCTAATAGCTTGCTTAGTCTAAGCAATGTATTTTTTTGCAACAGTCCTCACAGTTTATTTTATATAACCGGCTTTTCATTTTCCAACATCTTGTCTTTAGAGTTACGTAAACAAGTTACGACAACAAGGAGCATTTGACAATGCACTACCTAAATCTATAGGATCATCTCTGACTGGGAAAGGTGTAGAATCGAACATAACTGGCGTGATCTATGTCATGCTGGTAAACAGAACTGCAACTACGACTCTTCCAGTTCTACCCTCAAGGTGGGGTACTATCTCTCCTTCTGTGAGCGTTTCTGATTGATAGTCTGCTTGATGCCCTCGACAGAAGAAAATTAGATCTGCAAGCTTATGCAGATGACCTTGTCATCTTGGCAAGGCCCACGTCGGGAAGGGCAGCTTGGGGAGCAGATGTCTTACCATTTGGAACGGAGTTGAAATATGGTGGCAAACTCACCTGGAACGCTGACTTGCAAAAAGTTTTACACAAAGCCAGGCTGTCCCTATGGACATGTCGAAGGATTTGTGATAAAACTTGGGGTTTAGGCCCCAAACAAATCCATTGAATCTATATGATGATTGTCAGATCAATGATCACTTATGGTACAATTGCCTGGTGGCTTCACAGAAAACGGCCCAGGAGAAGCTCTGTGGCTTACAGAGACAGTCTTGTCTGGCCATCAGTAGTGCCATCAATACCACACCGACAGCGGTCATGGAGATCCTACTAGATCTACCTTCTCTCCACATTTTTCGGGAGAAAGGGTTACTGCATATAGACTTGTGCACATTGCCAGTTACACAAATCAATTTATTGCAGAATGCAACAGACTCTTGGTTCACACTGGCAGTCACATCATTCTAGAAATGACATCTGACTTTACGCCTTCAACTGTCAACTACGAAAAACCTTATAAAGTGCTGTTCTCGAGTAGAGAGGACTGGATCCTCTGAGAGAAGAGAAGAGAGAAGGAGATAATTGTTGGTTCACAGATGGATCAAAAACACCTTCAGGTTCTGGTGCAGATGTTTTCAGTCGTAGACCCAGGACAAATATATCAACCTGCCTAGGAACCTATGCAACTGTATTCCAGGTGAAAATTTACGCTTTCGAATTGTGAGGAGAAATTGGAAGAATCCAACCTCATACACAAGTGAATAAAAATATTCTCGGGCAGTCAAGCGGCGTTGGAAGCTCTTGGCTTCTACCGAGCAATGTCTGAATTGGTAGCAAACTGCCAAAAATGACTCTCCCCGATAGGGGAGACTTAACAGATTCCTGGCCATACTAGCCTGGAAGGCAATGCTGCTGACTCCCTTGCAAAGGAGGGTGCTGCAAGCAGCTCAATCGGACCAAAACTTGTCATTGTCATCGCATTAGGCATTGCCAAACAAAGATTGAACACCTAGATGGCAAGAAGATTTATGGACTTCTGGCAAAATCTTTCAGGATCGGCTCACTCTGTTCGAAGGGTGAAGCCGAAGGGCTTCGCCCTTCGAAGTTTCATACCAAACAGTTGTTGGAGTACAGTAGAGATGAACTACATTGTATAACAGGCCTTCTTACACTGTCATTTCAATCATCATATGCAGAGACTCGGACTGTCGGAAGACAGATGGTAAGAGTACGGCAGAGGCGCTTTTGACAGTGATAACCAAGCCAACGTCGTTCTCAAAGAAATATGGACTGATGACGCTACGAGCCCAAAATCCACACCAAACAAAGACTTTTACAGCATGCATTGGACGCTCTTGGATCCCATGTGGATTGATATCAAGCTTCGAGGGGTGAATAAACGCCTTGGGGTGTACTAGTTGAATGATGACATAGGGTTCACATTTTTGTTATTTATTCGTAAAAGGAATATATTAGAGTTGGATGTTTTCCATTTTCCATCTATTTCTCTGAAAAGTTTTTAAAATATAATTCAAGAATTGTTTTACTTACTTGTAACCAGCCAGAACGTTCAATAAGGTACTTTTGCCAGCTCCTGATGGACCCAAAATAGCCGTCAGTTGACCTGATTTGAATTCACCGCTGATACTCCGCAAGATGAGTTTCGATCCTGGAACAGAAAATGAAATGTTTTCAAATTTTTGATTCATCAGTCAATTAATCCAGTCAAGTAAAATATCAGTATATGTTTTAGTGTAGCCAAGTTAACAAGGAATTGTCTTATTCAAATTGTTACTGAATGTATTGATTTGCCTGATACTAGTATTATTCATCCTGCTTTCACCAGGTCATGCAAATTCTCATTCAATCTTATTTCAAAAGATTCTTGATATATCATAGGAAAAGTAAAGTATTCTACTCGCTCGAATGATTTACGACCCCCGCTTCCGGCTCGCGAATAATGCACACATTTCTTACTCAATGAATTATATATTATCACTCGATATGTAATTGTGAAGTAATCAGCCAATTTATTGAAAGCTGAATTGAATCAAAACATGAACTATAACAGAGCCAATGAATTTTTATATGAACGAATTGAAACCGTTTATCAATTGAAGGACAAGAACGTGAATGCTTTCGCCTGAATTATTGTGTGGACGGTGCAGAAATAGTGAATTCGTTACGGATACAATCCAAGGTCAAGGTTATTGGTTCCTTAAGTGTTCAGATAGGTTTTCACCGTGAGCAATTTGGTGTACTGTCGTCCGGGTTGAACCACGTCTGTAGTTTTCATCTGTTCAGCTTCTGCTTCGAAGCCATTTTCATTTAATCACTTCAAACTGAAGTTACATGGCTCGACAACGGGGTCGTAATCTCCCTGACCCCCACGTCTTGTCACTGGCTTTGTTCTTGGTTTGTTCTGTTCAAAGTGGACACTGATTACCTGTTCCTGGACAGGTATAGAGTACCTATTAAAACTCCATCGGATTAATTTGCTTCATAACAAAGCCGATTACTTTATTTGATGAGTAACGTATCAGGTCGACTCTTAAATCTCATCCGGTCCGCGAAGGGGCAGGCCTCTCATGGCTGCAGGCTACCAACTCTTCTGATCCCCTCAAGTAACCTGTAGCCATCCAAGTTGCAATGTGTAACTCTGGAATCGCACCTCTTATACAACTTCTGGAATGTTCTCTACGGCAACCACAATAGCATACTGAAGATATTCTAGTTGATTTATCGATAATGAGGTTGTATATTTTCACTATACTATATTTACTATATTTTCACCCTGATGACTGCAGAAACCGTCTCATATGAGGGCATCTGTGAGTAAGCTACAGCGGACAATACATTGGATTCAGCCTTTGATTTGCATGAATCATTTTTTGAGCATAAGTTTTTGCTAATCTGCTCGTGAAGAGTTTGTTTTCTCTCATGGTGCGAATTTGGCTCCCACTGTTCAAGCATTTGGAGCTGAGCAGTACATGAGATATTACAGAGGTGACAGTTGGAATTGAGGTTCAATTATCTCTGTAGATTCAGATACTTTGGTTACTTCGTGGTCTGTTAAAGTTCCCACGAGTAGTTAGAGGAAGAAGTTTCGTCACGGCAGAGTCCCGTAAGTTTTCTATGACAAAATTTCTCCCAATATCTCTGAAGTTCTTTCAGAGACACCGACTGAGCTCAGAGTCACATATTGGATCGTTAGAATACTCCTGCAAGGTGGTGAGGTGTCGCTTCATCATAAAGTGTGTATTATACTGATGTAAGAGTATATTATACACACCTCATGATGAGGCGTCACATCACCTTGCAGAGGTATTCTAAGGGCCCCTGATTCAGGGAGTCTGTTATATAGTGACAACCTGATCGTCCAGTGTGAATAAATAAAAAATAAGCTCAAAGAGACCGAACAAACGGGTTCATTTACCGGGAGAGAAAGTCTTCAAAGAAATAGTTTTTGCTGAGTCTGCAACTGAGAGTTTATCGGAAATATCTGAAGTGTTTTTGGTTGATTTTTTTCATAAACATATTTGAACTGGAAGTGAGAAGAGAGTTGAAATACTGACCAGGGATTGAATCCAATGAAAAAAAGGTAGAAATCACGGATAGCCTTCAGAAGCCTCATGAGTAGCCTCAGATTGATATTAACATTTGTTTACTGAATGGATTTGAAGATTCAATAACTTCTACTTATTATATGCGAGCGCTTTCGATAGCAGGCTGTACTATCATCTTCACGGCTCTACTTGTCCTAAACGTTTTATCTTCTTGTTTGTTATTTTATACGGTTAGAACGCCTCAGTGCAGGTATTTCTTCTCTCCTGTCTTCTGGATGTCTCTTTAAATTCGCCTGTATTTGGGTTACATCAGGTAATATCCTTTGTGTTGGAGTTTCTTTAGTTTCATTGTTTCTAGAAATGTATATTGTATTGTGTAGTACGAGTATATTGGGTCTTGCTGTATGGATGTTTAGGTTTTCCCAGATGTACATACGGTTTCCTTTATTGACTTGTTTTATGAATTTGAGGTTTTCTGGTGGGGAAAAGTTATGTCTGTATAGTGTGTGTTGCGAGGTTTGATTTACATGTTGTTGGGTTTATGTATGTTTTTTGTGCTCATCGTACCTTTGGATCAGTTTTTTTTTGGTTTGGCCGCTATAGAATTTGTTGAAGTCCGAGCATTGTATGCTGTACACTCCGTTTAGGTTTTTATTTTCTTCTTTTTCATAGCTGTTTATTTTTTGTATTATTTTCGTGTTCGGTTTGTAAGTGATGTTGATGTTCAAGGGTTTGAAGATGTTTGTTAATTTTTTGATTTGGTGACCTATGTATGTGAATGCAGTCCATCGTTGTGTTGTTTCATCTGTTGGACAGATACAAATAATCGAGTAAACGCAAGCGAGACCTAAGTGGAACCACCTATTAGTGTGACATCCAAGTCAACTTCCCAAGTTTTAATGTCCGTGTTGGTGATTTGACCAATCAACCGACAACTGCGATAGCAGAAATTCAGGAAGATATCCTGGAATGCTTTCGGAAAACGAATCCACTTTTTTCTAAAAATGATACGAAATCACGTAAATAAAAAAGTTCATTGTATGGACATTAATTCCACAAAAATACTAGCAACTGAACATCTCAATTACAAAAGATTATTTTCAGAGATGGCCTTCATCTCGCAATCACCTTCATGCTTTAATAAAAAAAATATCTATTTATCGTTTGATTTTCATGGAATTATTTTCCAGTAGCTTGACTGCATTATTAGTGAAACAATCCCATTCAACTGACTGTAGTAACAACAACTACTGAAGGAAACACTTTTCAATTAGTTGCTCTTGAGTGAACCTCAAAAGCATATTCATCCCACCTACTTTTTCGGCATGGAGTCACGATGAATCATTATTGCCAACTTCAATTACCGGTCATTTTCCACTGATATTGTGTATTTCAATGTTTTCATTGAAACATAATCATTTTCAATGGTAGGAAGTCGCTTATCTGATGAATTACTGCTAATTACACTAATGAAATTGATTTGAAAGAGCCGTGTTGCATGAACGTACAAAAACCTTAACATAGGTTCACTTACGTCAAAATGTTCAAACTAATTGGCGATAGATGTGAGTTTCAGTCAGTCGCTCGAACTGCTTTTTTTTATTTTCCGTCTCATTCAGTACCCGCCATCTTATATTTATGTATGGCATATTAGCGTTTGACAGAAAAACATTTTTCTTACAATTTGTATCGAGTACAACGAAACCATCTTTATATTCAAAGAAAGTACAGTTTTATGAAATTACTCTGTGAAAGATATTCCTAGTTTGTTGGTTACGTTATACATGCAAATATGCCTAACGCGCAGTGCTAGAGTAGTCCTCACAGCGAATATTACATTGCTCGAAGTTCCGGGCATTAGTTTTATTCCGTTAGTAGTAGGCATGATTTCGCAGGCAGCAGACTTCATTTATGATGTCATCCTGTATCTTTCAGTTGAAATAGTCCTTTGTGCTTTTGCAACCTCAGCATATAAATCTTTATAGATATTGAGGGAGATCAAGATCACGAAGAGAAAGTATTGAGTATTCAGTAATAATTGATCACTCCTCAGAAACGGTTGCAGAGCATTTGGAAAATGCTGCTGGGTAGCGGTATAATGTAAGTTTTTGGTGATTCTCAATGTTAGCTCATTCCTGAGCATATTTTTCTCGTTTTATCATAATAAATATTTTGTTAAGTTTTCAAATGAGTTCTTTTATTATTTGGATGGATGAGGGTTGGGTGAAACAGCGATAAATTATCTCGCAATAAGCAAATTGAGTACTGAGTTGCGACAATACGTAGCAGTCATAGCAAGCTTAATGCCTGAGGTGGCATATTTCGAAAATTGTGCTGTTCCATTACCATTCTCAATATATTCTGGATACAAAAGGTTATGAACTCACAGAAGATTGAATCAGTACAAATAATAACATTATTCTACTCTGCAAGGTGCTTCAAACTAAGGTTCAAATTCGAGTCCCATGCATATAGGTCGAGTTGTTCATCTTTCACTGCCTGAACCACTGTGAATTCTGTCGGACTTTTATGGACAGAGTAAACTTAAAAATTCTTTCTGGCGCTGAGTATATAGAGGAGATGGATGTCGAGCTTACGACTCCAACTGACCTAAATTTAGATCAGGAGCAAGAGCTTCTCAACTCTCCAACTCAGCAATGAAAAAAAGGTTAGGTGGTGCAGCCAAGAAAGGACTGAGTCGTCTTCTCAAGAGCGGGGTACCTCATGAAACCGCCTTGCACCAAATTCAGGTGGAGGAACAAACCCCCATGAGCAGGTTAGCAAACGTTTGCCTCAAGTGATGATTCACCAAAACCAGAGGCTAAAAGCCCTGCACGGTTGAATCTAAGGCATCGTCAGGTGTAGCTGACGTGCGAAAACCCTCATATGGGAAGGTTGTCGCGGGTATAAAGGTGGGAATCTTGCACCTTGACTATCCGACTACCTCATTAACGGTGAAACAGCAGAGCATAAAATTTGTGCCTGTCCCGCTGGGGACCGAATCAGGTTTTTAGAGTTCGGCAGGACCATACTCCAACCATCATACAAGCTAATCGACTTCGTTAAGAAGCTGGGTTTATTTAGTTGAGTGTAAATGGGTATG